CGGCAGGGTACTCTAATCTCAACTACTAGCACACATCATTAGTTGCTACATCATTCCGATGAATCACTTATAAACACCTTTTCTGACAAGATGCCCAGTCAAGAAAGCTATTCTTGACTCGCCATCTTGTCGAGAATAATCACCTCATATCATAAAGTGATGTGTCGTCCTCTAGATAAGAATTGTAGGCCCAGCCGCTGCCTGGCATAGTGCACTTGTGAAGCAGCAGCTACATTTCCGGACTTCCCGGCTACGTAAAAGCAATTGAAACAAGCAGCTCCTCACACTTGCTAACGCCAAACGACAGAAGAAGATGAAACATACAAGTCTACCTGACAGCCTGGAGCAAAGTTTGCAGAAGCTGGAGAAGGAAGCAGCTGAATTGCCCTGGTGCCAGCCTTTCTTGGAGGCTCTCCAGGATAACACGGACTCAAAAGATGAAACTTCAGAATTCGAAGATGGCCCCGACATATATGTTGCTGATAGAATATACGCTAAGAAAACTAGTCAAGACGGGCAAGACTACTTTTTAGTTTCTTGGATGGGGTTTCATGAACTATCCTGGCAGCCGTCGTCAGACCTACCACAGAACATGATAGCGCCTTTTAATGATGAGGAGCTTGGCGTGGCTTGACCATCCGACTATCGGGTCAGCATACTCACGGGGATCATGGCTGGTGCAAGAGTACACGGAAGGGCAAGACATAGCTAGATATTGCTCCAATATATTTAAATTGCGGCAATTTTTATTATTGGGAGTGCTCATATTGGAATTTTTATTGCGGCAAAACTTTGCCATCAATACAATACAGTATTTTATTTTCCGGCCTCTGTATTTATGGATCAAGTGACGACGTTTATTAGCAGCGTTGTTCTAACGGCCAGTTCTTACGGCCAGTTTCTGTTGTACATGTACTACTATTTGGGAGCTCAGTCGATTACATCACATTCAGATATGTTCATAATATTTCTCCAACAAAACGGTTGTAGTTATTCTTTTAGTCATTGTTTATTGCCAAAACTATAAAGAGCATACTATTTTGTTCATTGATAGTATGGCCTCGAAAACACACGTCTACGCTAAGCACCCTGCAGCTTAGGAAGCGAAAAGTAGCACTCAATTATTAATAGTAATATCCCATTTCAAAATAGTATATTATAAAACTTCGTAGTATTAAAACGATGCCGCCTTCGGATAATGGACAGTCTTGTGCAAAGCGCCAGATGTACTCTGTGAACCACATGAATTTATTGATGTAAGCTATATAATTAAATTTTAACCAATCGGAAGCGCCTTAGCATCGCTCGACAGCCATTGATAAGGCTCAAAAACCTGAGCGTTTCGTGTGGCGGACGGACAGACACCGTGCTAGCATTGATAGTTTAGGATTGATAGTTTAGGACTAGCCGGCCGCCGCCGCTACGCGGCGGAGTGACATGGTTTGTTGGAAATGAGGTGGCCGCAAATTTAAGTGCTTCTTGGTGTCGCGTGCTTTATGAGCGTCGTTTACCCAGTAGGTCTTAGCTTCGTGTAACTAACCACTATATATTCCGTAGTCTCATGTGGACCCGTATAATATCGTGGTTTGGTTCGA